TCTCCCGCATCTCGAAACACGCTCCTATCCAACACACTCGTATTTTCACTCACATCAACTCTGCCCGTTTTATCACATCTCACCCCACGTCTCTGTCCGTTTTTTCATCTCTGACGCTCACATTTCATCTTCACCACCTTCACACACCTCGAAAACGTCACAAACACGCTCTATTCCACCGACACGTAAAACACATCCTCGTCACACCCACTCAACCTTATCCACGACGCTCTCAAACATCTCTGCCATATTTTTCATCCCAACACGCTCAAACCGACGCTCAACCTTCGCCCCCTCATTTATTTTACGCCTCCGTCAAAATTGACACGAAAATACCCCCAAAAAAATCGATTTTATCGTTTATTTCCCACGGTCATTTACTTATATAACCCTCTTTCTTCGCTGCCAAACTGTCCCCTTTGCACTATCTGATTCAGCAACTGGCCTCTCTTTCAATTCATTTGGTCCCCGAGACACTTATTTTGCAGCGCAAACAGACTTGAGTCATTCTGCTATGGGCCACTGTTGCTTTAGGTTTGACTTGTTAGTCACCGGAATTTGCCGCCTTCCTCTCTTTTCAACCCTGACCTTCCGCATGGATGTCGTGACGGTGAGTGATCGTCTTGGGGATACATATGTCATCTCTCTGTGCGTACTAGTCTATGATTATCTTGTTCTGGCTGTCTTTGTCTCTCTATGTTTGTATGTTTGTCTCTCCGTCAATCATCCAGGTCTTAGTGCTCGGACTGTGCTACGCTCGCTGGTAACTAAGGAAACGGTGAGTCTGCTGGCCAAAAATTTCTAGGGTACTGTTCAATGCGGGCTCGTTCTCTCACGGCATGGGTTCCAAATCATGGGAGGAACCGTTTTGGTTCCATAAGCTATGGCGACTGTCTCAATCCAAGTAACTCGGTTGATCTTCAGCAGCAGAAAGGATAGGTAGGAGATTCGGAGTCTGAAGGGATCCTCCTTAGTGAATATGTTCGCGATCGCTCATTTTACGCCCGATTTTGGATGTTGTGGGCTCAAAATGACGACAGAACGTGCTCAGTCAGCACCTGTCAAGATTTTAACAACAACATTTCACAGAACCTTCCTAACGAGGACAAACACGTCGGTGAGTTTTCGCTTCCAATAGTCGATTTACAAAAATATGTTGGGGTTCGCTCAGTATCGGTCCGATTTCTTACGTTATGGGCTTCAAATGACAGGACGGGTCAGGAGCATCGACTTCAATAAAAGTTTGAGAGAAACAGGCTCACCTATTGTCATGAACAAGGACGATAACATAGGTATGTTTTCGTCCACCATATATACCTCTCGAAAGTCTGTTCGCATTTGGTCAATTCTTTCTCGATCTTCAATGTAGCGGGCTCAAAGTGACGGCGGAGAGTACCGCTATCAGCTCCGAGAAAGGTTTGACAAAAAAGCGCCCGCTCTTCCTCGAGAACGAGGCGAAATATATTGGTGACTTCTTGCTGCTATCACCCCTTCTCGAAAATGTGTTCGCGTTTGCTCAGTTGACATTCTATTCTAAATATAGCGGGCTCAAAATAATGGAGCGAGGTAAGTAAACTAACCCTGATAAAAGTTAGGAAAGAAATAGCCCACTCAATGGTGATAACGAGGTGAACGATGCGGGTGGGTTCTCACCCATACCACCCTCTTCCGAAAATGAACTCGCGTCTGCTCAAATATCCTTCGATGCTCAATGTTGCGGGCTCGAAAGGACGGCATAGGTAGGTACTCTCATCCCCAATCAAGATTTGGAGAGAAACGTCCCGTGCATCGTCTAGAACGAGCACGAACGGTTATATGAGTTTTATTCTCAATACCCTCCTCCTCAAAACTCGGCTCGTTCTCGCTCATTTGCGGTTCGTTCCTGGGGTTAAATAGCTTGAAATGACAGTCCATATATGGGTCATTGATCCCCGTTCGCTATCCTACGCAAGACCACTGCAAATCGACGTCATTGATACGAATCTCTGAGGTGGGCCATGGTGCGAAAATGGTCCTCTTCGAATTTTTGTTCGCGTTTGCTCATTTGTGTTTCGATCCGGCTTCATATAGGCTCGAACGGACGGAAACGATGAGGTACGCCTGCAGCATACAAGGTTTGATGCGAATCGACCAGGTAATGAGGGAGATAGAGCGGTTTTGGTTCGGTAAGTTTCGTCCCTCAACCCTCCTCCGAATATTTGCTCGCATTCGCTCAATATGGGCCCGATTTCCATCGTTGCTGGCTCTATCAGACGGGATGCATTGATACGACTCCGAGCCATCCAGGTTTGAAGCAAAACGGCCGGGAAATGGTCGAGATCGAAGTGTTTTATCTCAGTGTGTCATCCCCACCAGCCCTCCCTCCTCCAACATCGTCTCGCGTTTGCTCAGTTCTCGCTCAATCATCGTCGTTTAGGGCTCGATAGAACGGCAAGGGTACGAATAGCCTACCACATCGAAGGTTTGGGGCGAAACTATGGTGCATTGACTAAGTTAAACGAGATTGTAGCCGGTGAATTACCTCTTAGCTATCCCCCTCATAGAAAATCGCTTATAACCTCTTTAATATCGGTTCAAACTTCGACGTTGCGGGCTCGAAATGACTGGAGGAATGTGTGCTATCAGCCGCCCACCTGGTACCAAGTCGATCGGTGCAGTCATCGTCGAGAACGACAACGATCCTTGGGGTAAGTCCTTTCTCAATATCTCCCCCCTCCAAAACATTGTTGTAACTCATTCAGTTTTCGTTCAATTTGCGTCGTGTTGAGATCAAACGGATTGCATACATATCCGCGCCCATCTCCAGCAGTTGCCTTGTCCGAGATAACCCGTTCGTCGTCGATAACGACGGACTTGAAGTCAGGCCTTATGCATGGTGCGCCCATCTTCTAATAGCCTCACTTCTGAGCAGTACGGTATCGCCAAAGGCGATGCAACACGTAGTCGTTGTTGTTTTAAGATACAGAACATGATTAAGGCAGTCCAGCAGCCGGGCCGTTCAAATGCACGCTGCAGCAGCTCTCCTGTGCACTGCGTCGCCAATGGCGATGCTACACCTGAAGGTAGTGTTGCCAGTCATGGAGCTTGACGATTTCAGGCTAGATACTGAGCATTTGGAGGGTAATCTTATATATCCCTCGTGTGCTGTGTCGTGTCGCCATAGACTATGTTCTAAACTAGTCATTGCTCACGGTGTGAAACCCGCCATCTGACCTTTGTGCCACACAGACCCGCCAGAAGTGACGTGATGCTACCCGTAATAGTACATGGCACGTCAAGAGGTCTCCTGGCACTCAGCGACAAGCTGTGTGGACCTGTGGTACGATTCTGTGCCCCGTGGCGCTGTATCGCCAGAGGCGATGTTCGGCCATAACATTTGGGCACAGTCAGTACCACAGCACCACCAACTGTAAAATCCCTCATTATCAGTCAAATAGTCGTGCGTTTGCGAAGTAGCGGGATCTGAGTACTCCTCCATGAACTGTAAAATCATTCGTTCTCAGTCAAACAGCCGTGCGTTCTCGAAGTTGTGGGATCTTTCGATGTATGTCAATGTCCTCCATTGCTTCCAGTATTTTATTCTATGAGAATCAGCTCATTCGTAGTCGAGACCGACTGGTTTTCCCAGGTGAAAATACGCTAACTTGACTGCTCAATGTGCATGTGCGGATATGTAGGCAAGCGGTGGCGTCTGATGTCGCCACAGGCGATGCGCCAACACATAGGTGGCCGGAAGGCTTTGGAGCTGCGTTACGCTGCGCGTTGTGTCGCCAAAGGCGATACCGGTGGTCCGGTGAACAGGTGTTGCAGCCTGCCTGGCAGCTGTGTGCTGGAGTATCGCCCATGGCGATACGAGACAGCGTAGCAGTTGTGTAGCGGCGTATTGCCTATGGCAACACGACAGTGTCGCAGCCGCTGCGACCCGTGTGGTATTGCCACAGAAGATACCTCAGTGCATAGTGGCCATCAAGGATGTAGCGCTGTGCCGTGTCGCCACAGGCAATACGCTGGTGCACAGCTGGCGGGAATGCTGTGGTGCCATGTCAAATCGCCACAGGCGATACAGCGCACAGCTGGCGGGAAAGCTGCCATGCCGTGCAACCCGACTTGCCCTCGAGAATCACGATCTCAACTTGGTGAGTACCCTTCACCTATCGTAAAATCACTCGTTCCCCGTCAAATGATCATGTGTTTGCGAGGTAGCGGGCTCGATCGACGCATACAGGCGTCCCACATATGCCCCTTTACTTGGTTCCATGGGAAATGGTCTACTCGCTGTCGAGAACGACCATCCGAGCCTGGTGAGTACCCCCCGTCAACCATAAAACTATTCGTTCTCAGTCAAATGCTCATGCGTTTTCGAGGTAATGGACTCGATCGATGCATACACGTATCGTACATATGATATGGTACTTGGTTTGACGTGAAACGGTCCACTCACCATCGAGAATGATGACCTGAACCTGGTGAGTACCCCCCACGAACTGTGAAATCACTCGTTCTCAGTGAAACAACCGTGAGTTCTCGAAGCCACGGGCTTTTTTGATGTATGTCAATGTCTTCCATTGCCTCCAGCATTTTATGTCATGATAGCTGTCCGGAAGGCTGCGGGGCTGCATTGTGTCGCCACAGGCGATACACTGGCGCACGGGTGCTGCAGCCGGCCTGGCATCTGTGTGCTGTAGCATCGCCCGTGGCGATATGACATAGCGTGGGTCTCCTGGCCGTGGTGCAGTGGTGTACCACCTATGGCGACACTACTCAGCATCGCAGCCCTCCAGTGACCCATGTGGTATTGCCACAGACGATACCCCAGCGCACAGTTGCCAGGAAGGATGCAGTGCCGTGCCGTGTCGCCACAGGCAATACGTTGTGCACAGCTGGAGGGATGCCTGCGACACCATATCGCCACAGGCAATACAGCACACGGCTGGTGGGAAGGCTGCGATGCCGTGTCGTGTCATGTTGCCACAGGCGATACGCTAGCGCGGCTTGCCTCCAGCACCATTCTCGCTCACCCCTGTGCCCTCTGCTTGCCCCGCTGCTATTTATAACCCTAAGATAGGGTTGGACCTAGGAAACCTAGGGAGCAGTGTTTTCTTCTCATAACCTAACCTAACACGCTCCTATCCAACACACTCGTATTTTCACTCACATCAACTCTGCCCGTTTTATCACATCTCACCCCACGTCTCTGTCCGTTTTTTCATCTCTGACGCTCACATTTCATCTTCACCACCTTCACACACCTCGAAAACGTCACAAACACGCTCTATTCCACCGACACGTAAAACACATCCTCGTCACACCCACTCAACCTTATCCACGACGCTCTCAAACATCTCTGCCATATTTTTCATCCCAACACGCTCAAACCGACGCTCAACCTTCGCCCCCTCATTTATTTTACGCCTCCGTCAAAATTGACACGAAA